GCTGCTTTCTGGTTTTCATTTCCTGGTTTATTATCTTCAACAGCCTCGTGTGGCTGATTCAATTCCTCATTTGTGGTAAACTGATGATGGCCTTGCGTCTCGGGTTCCTCTTTCGGGATTATAGGGAGATCAAGGTTGTGGGATCCAACTGGTAGGTTGTCATTGCTTGCACTTGTTTCTTTAGTAAGACCAGTCTTTATGGATTTCTTTTCTCCATTTCTATCCTCCTCAACTTCATCCTTTACACGTCCGGGATGAAATGCAACAAATGGTTCTGCTTTCACAGTCTTTGGAAAATCCAGATTTCTGGTTTCATTCGATACATCTTTCTCCTCGCCTAATTCTTCAATTTTCTTAATGCTGTCAGGAAATACAGCCCCATCATGACCTTCAACCGTAGGTTCCTCTTTCAAACCACCTGTGATATCTGTTGATGCGGTTTCTTTGTCTGTTTTGGGATGCTTTGTTGAGAAAAACTTCGAGATCAAGCTATTTTGTGAAGCCTTAAGCGTTATCTGCAAGTGGCATAATCCGTATTTATAAATGACGATAAGCGTACAGATTGAAACAATACAGAATGGAGAGAGTTCCAAGATATGATCCTGACAATAACATGACTTGAAATGCAATTATCGACCTTTAGTTGTACACTAACAAAGGGAATCTGGTTAACAGTACCTGGTTAAAGCAAAATCCCATTTTTCATAGACTGGCGGATCGAGTTAAGAATGACGGAGCGATATTAAGTTAAGAAGGCGGTTGGCTGGTTTGGACTGAGTTCCTTCTACATCTATGGTATGGTTCAAACAGCAGTAGCTACTTATTTTTTCTCTCCTCATGTTTTTGGGTACTTGTATTTTCCTTTCCTTCTGTGTATACTAAGGCTGTTTTTAATTGGTTTCAATTCTTGGTAATACAAAATGGTATCTCTTTTGAGAAAAAAAAACAGTTAAGAATGACAAAGAACTCGTAGAGAAAGCATTCGCAGAGAAAAATGTATTGCATGCGTTGAAGCCCGTTATCATCCTTTGATATCCGGAAAGAGTGGCGGAGCTAGGAAATCAGTTCATGAGTATCAATTTTTTTATATAAAGGTTAATTGTGTTATTAAATTTTTTTATAAGGGTCAATTGTGTTATTTTACAAGGGTCAATTTGATATTTTTCCTAAAAATTCATCTAATTTGAAAAATTCAACAGGGTCAAATGACCCCTATGCTTCTTATCTACCTCTGCCATTGCAGGAAGTCTTTATGGTATTTCGAGAGCTATTTCTGTCTCGAGACAAGATGTTTTTGGTATAAGCAATGTATTTGAAAACCGTCTCCTCTTCTAGTTGTAGGTTTGGAAAAATCATTGTCTTTGTAATTTCACGGGTAAAAGGCAAATTTCAACATGGACAATTTGAAAAGTGTATATTTATACCTCAACTTTGCTAACGTGTGAATTTCAACTTAAACTAAATATTTTTTCAAATTTATGCAAAAATCAATATTGACCGGGATTATGTTGGTCAACTACGATGAGTCAGATTTTGCTGAATCATATGCCACATGTACAAATTTTGCTGAGTCATATGCCATGTGTCAAAACTGGAATTTTTTTTCTTTAATTATAACTTAACTTAAACAACTAGTTCAAAATTTCTTGAAAATTATTACCTAGATGATAGTTCGTGTAGTTTTATTCGAAACAATATTTAATTCAGGTTGAAATTTATACGTTATAAAAGTTGAGATATATAAATACACTTTTAAAATGGTTCATGTTGAAATTTGACTTTTACCTGTAATTTCACTCTCTCTTTTTTCTTGTGATTTGTAATATTACCGAACACTTTGGTAGTTTGGTTATCAATATAATTTATTCAGTGAAAAAAAGACAGAAAAGTATAAGACTTCAAATTTCGAACGACTAACATGAAAAAAGCATGAAATCTCAGATCTTTTTCTCACACTGTCACAATGAGTTTGAGAATTTTGTGTCCATTTAGCTTAGATCAAAGATCGAATACAACATATATACAAGCAACATTTCCAAAACAACCGGTACATATCTAAGGTTATCTACAACTAAAGTAGCCCAACATAGTCCTCATAGACGTTACGCAGACACAAACTAACTATTTCTCATCGAAAAAGAAATGTAAAGTAGACTCTTTAGGTTTCTTAACGTTAGACTTTCCCTTTCCTTTCTTCCTTCCGCATCTCCCACTGCTTTTAACATCTTGCAACCTCTCACAATGTTTCAGTGGCTTTTCTTGCGCTGAGAATAAATCATAGTCTCGCTTTGTCCCCGTCTTTTCCGCAGACTTCTCGCAAAACTCTAAGCCACCTAGCATCGTGTTTGCCCCAGTCTTTTCTGTAGACTTCTTGCTAAACACTAAGCCACCTTGCATCCTGTTTGCCCCAGTCTTTTCTGCATACTTCTCGATAAACTCTAAGCCACCTAGCTTCGTGTTTGTCCCTGTCGTTTCTGCAGACTTCTCGCTAAACTCTAAGCCACCTTCCTTTGGGGTCTCGTCAGTTAAAGCTGCTTTCTGGTTTTCATTTCCTGGTTTATTATCTTCAACAGCCTCCTGTGGCTGATTCAATTCCTCATTTGTGGTAAACTGATGATGGCCTTGTTTCTCGGGTTCCTCCTTTGAGATTATTGGGACAAGGTTGTGGGATCCAACTGGTAGGTTGTCATTACTCTCACCTGTTCCTTTAGTAAGACCAGTCTTTACGGATTTCTCAACTTCATCCTTTACATGTCCGGGATGAAATGCAACAAATGGTTCTGCTTTCACAGTTATTTGAGGATCCAGATTTCTGGCTTCGCTCAAGACATCTTTCTCCTCGCCTAGTTCTTCAATTTTCTTAATGGTGTCGGAAAATACCGCCCCATCATGACCGTCAACTGTAGGTTCCTCTTGCAAACCACCTTTGATATCTGTCGATTCGGTTTCTTTGTCTGTTTTGGGCTGCTTTGTTGAAAAGAACTTTGAGATCAAGCTATTTTGTGAAGCCTTAAGCTGTATCTGCAGGTGGCACAGTCCTTATTTTATAAATAATGACAAGCATAAGACTGGACATATACAGAGTTTGCTATATGAGAATTAAGACATGATCCTGATAATAACATGACTTGAGATGCAACTTTAGACCTTTACTTGTACACTGACAAAGGGAATCTGGTTAACAGTACCTGCTGAATACACTCTGGTCCATCAAACGTTGGTTTACCAATTGCAGAAGTTACTGGATACCATACCTGAAAGTTCATCTTGAGTAAGTGAAAACGGAAAAAACAATATAACAAAGAAACCAGAAACAAAGTAAACTTTACCAAATCTGATTTTTCATATGGTGAGAGTAATGGCTGCAGTTTCGTCGTCGATGGATCATCTAGCCATGTGTCGACAGAATCCTTGTCACCAAGAATAACCGGCATTCTGTCTTACGTGAAAAACAAACATGTCAGCGCAAAAATCAGGACTGCCGTAAATTAACAAAACTTTCACCAACAGCAGCTTATAATAAGAACATTGAATAAGAAACGCCACAGTCCTTATTAACAATAAAACGCATAAACGGTCTTTCCTTGTTCTTTTTCTGATACGAGTCCCTTTAGCAGCAGTTCAAGATTCTCTTGCAACAAGACTCGTAATTACAAAAGTATATTTTCTAAAGAAGATTATCAAATTGTAAGTAACAAGAAAACAGAAACAATTCAATACTAGTATGATACTTTAAGTTCATATCTTTCTTAATATATGAACACAAGTTTCAAGGCTCCACCTCCACGGAAGATAAACAATTCCCAACTTCATATGCTATGTGCTACTGAGAATCTTCAGTGAATATGAATAAAGAAATATATCTTATTTAAGAAAAAGCCTTCCAAGATACTAACCATGGAGCCAATGAAGTGCCGAAGAGGAAGCGGCTGTCAAAATCGTGAAGGTGTAAAGTGTCTCACCTGCAAGAAAAAAAAGTAACTTTAACTTAGAGTCAAAGCATCTGAGATGTATTTAGCTACCAAAAAGGGTCTTTAAAGTGCTACTTCGCTTTTCTAACACACATAACTCAAAAAATTTCAATGAATGTAAAATGATTAGCAATTCAAAAGATAAACTTTTCAAACATCTGTGGAAAAAAAGACATTGAAAGTCTAAGAAATGTTTCAGGATCAGTTTCAAAAAGAATAGCAACAGAGTTTGGAATAAAACAAGATAAAACGTTTCACCTCCTGAGTTCGGCCAAGAATCAAAAAGAGCAGCAAAGACGAGTGGCCTCCCGTCCTCGAAATGGATATAGTAGGGTTGCTTTTTTGAACCTTCCTTTTTCCACTCATAGAATCTTCAAATTGAATCTAACTGTAAGTTCTTTTAAAGACTATTATGTGTTACAAAGAAAAAAAAAATACACATCTAAATATAGAGACAGAACAATTGCTTTTGAAGAATGTTCACAAAAAACAGAACTCAATAACAAATCATTAGCCTTAAGATTGATTACACAAAGTCAAACATTGCTGATCAGAATTAAAACATTTCTATATATGTAGTTTTAGAATTCACATATAGATTGAACCTAAACTATAGAATACTAAAAAAGAGAAGATAAGAGATACCCATCAACTGCAACAAGGCACCTATTCTTGGGAAGCAATCGACGAAAAGACGATTTCTCAGCTACCGATTCAGACCGAGCATTAAACTACAAATTCACATAAACAAACACATCTTCACTATATAGTCACCAATCAAAGAATCAGGTGCAATAAACTTCTTTGACAATCAAATTTTGCAACTCAAAACAAAACCCACCAAAGAAGTAAAAGTGATACCATTTTGAAAAAGTCAGGCTTATCAGTTTTCTTAGTGAAACCTGGGACTAATCCCCACTTCATACAATGAACAACAACACCATCACCAACTACTTCATTGTCTCTTCTTAAAACAGGCATATACGAACCAGGGGCAACATTGTAAGATGGACGATAACTGATTAACAACAAGAAGGAACGATTTTTAGAGAGTTCAGAGGCTTAAAAATTGAAACTTGTAACTGAGAAAAGAGAAAAGACCGGTCAGTGTGAAGGAATCGGGTTTGAACGCCGTGGCGGTGAGAAGCTCTTGGGACATCATCTGGTCTTAAAGTACAGCAAGTCCTACCGCACATCTTTACTGGTTTTGGTCGGAAGATGTAAAACCCTAATATGACCGCTTGAGTGAAAGTGTGAAACTGAAGGATTTGGTTAAACGATCGCCGGAGAGAAGATAAGTCTTTCACTGTGGTTCTGTACAAAATGGTTAACCGACCGATGATGACTCGAAGTCCGTGTTTTCTTTTTTTTTTTACTTCTGAAACGTGATTAAACCAAACCGAACCGAATGAACCCAAATTTTTGGTTTTTGATTTGGGTTCGGTTACTAAAGGTAAACCGATCGGAAGCTTTGTAACTGAAATCGGTTATCAATGAATTTTTGGTTCGGTTTAGGCGAACCAGATGATTAACCGAGAAAAATAAAATCCCAGTGTAATTAGTCGCTGTCAATCTTTTTTGGATCTTCGCTCGATTCATCTTCCTTGCATCTCTTCTTTTTCTTTGATGGGATCTCCTCTTCGCATTAGCCATCGTCTAACTTTTTCTGGTTTTAGAATTACTCTCGTGACTATGTTGAAGTTTCATTCATACAAAAACGTTAACGAATTTATTTAAAATGGGTTTGACATGTTACTAGGCTTCTGTTTTTTCCAGCGGCACAAATTTAAAGAAACTAAAAATTTCGGTTCAGTTCCGTAAGAAATAAAGAAAAACCAAATTAACCTCTTTTCGAACAATTTTCAAATTCTGAATTAACCAATTATACCAATCCGAACCGAATCGATTAACCAAAAAAACTCTCGATTAACCGAACCAACATGCTAGTGGAAATAGAGTACTTTTATATACACCTTTGAAGTACATTTTGTTCTAAAAATCTATTTTGGGTTATAACCTTTTATTTTGTAATATTTGCATAACACTTACTAATTGAATGAATAACAAAACTTAAAAGTAAATTTAGTAATTAAATAACAAGTAAATATAAATATTATAAATATTAAAACTTTTAAAAGCTTTAAATATTATAATATTTAATTTAATCTTTATAGATGTTTAAAATATTAAAAATACTTAAACTCTACAAAAAATTAAAGTACTATTAATATTCTAACTTTAAAATATTGAAAATATAATAATATTGTACATAAATATGATTGAACGGTTTTGAGTTTACATAAATATGAATAGATTTCTTACGAGTTATCTATATTTAAATCTTTTAACGGTTAAGTGAAAATATAATTTTTTACTTACAACAAAATTATTCCGCGGTGTACCGCGGGTTGACCACATATATTTATAAATCTACTTATAATACAAATTCATAAAATTATATAAAACTATAATGAAATAAACACATATAAAACTAGACTATATAAACCAACTAAGAAAATGACCAATCAAACAAATATATTAAATTATTGACTTGTGGTATACCACCGGGTAAATCCTAGTTTTAATTATGTTTTGCATAAAATTTATGGAAAAAGCTTAAAAATTCGCCAAATCTTTAGTTTAAGACAACAAAATGGAAAAATTTTGGGTGAATTAAATGAAAATACACAGAGGACTTGTTAATTGAGCGTGCAACAATGACAACAAGAATAATTAAATTCGGAGAAAATAACACGCAAGCCCACTTTGTGGGAAAGTCTTTGCGAGCAGACCCACTTTGAAGTTATAGTGTACTTTTGTTCTTCTTAAGTTGTGTTGACCTCAAAATAAATGACCATTGTGCCCTCTGTCTTAGTTTTAGTAGAGTTGAATTGTAACTGTATCGAAAATAACAAGGATCGTAGGATGGAAACTAGATGATTAGATCATGTGGCTTAGATTAAGTTTTGTTTGAATCGGGGCTTCGTGGATTCAAAGCAATTTTCAAGTTAACAATTCGTTTATTTGTGGATAAAGAAATGCTAAACTGAGCTTAGGGTTTTGGACATTCTTCTGTAAACATGGCTGCGCAGGTAAGGGTTTGTGGATAGTTCTTTGTGTTTCAAAAATTGTGGGTTGATAATTGTTGCTGATGAATTTTGTTGTTGTCGCCCAGGATGAACTCCCTCATTATTGTGTGGTTGTTTTAGGGAAGTGGTGCTGTACCGGCAAAAACGTTTGCGATTGGCACGTCGACCAACTGCTTTTGTCGAGGATCGTTCCAATTTTGGCGGAAATCAAGTTGTGGGAATTGGAGGATTCGGTGGTAGAAAATACCAGCTTGGTTAATAAGAAGGCAGACTTGAGCTACTGTCTGCCAAGCAATTTGCATTTGTCACTAGTAGTTAGGTCGCCGCCAGTGATGGTCAGTACAAATCTTGGTCTTAAGTACTATATGAAGATGCTTCGTGGGAATAGAGGTCTTAATTTGTTTGTAATCTTCGAAGAGATCATTAAAAGAGGTCAAACTGAAGTCGAGTTTGAGGGAGAAGAGAAGCTCCGTTCCGGGGATGGTTCTAGGAAACGTAATTGTGGGTCTTCATGTGGATTAAGTAAGAGTGATGGTGCAGAAGAGTTGTGTGGGGAGATATCAATTGTTGGATCAAAAACTATTGTTATTGAGGTTACGCAGGAGGATGAAGCTTTTCTTGATGAAATAGCAGCAGCAGAAGATGGTAGGGAAAACAAAGCAGAGGTAAAGGGGAGGGTAATTGAAGATGAAACATATATGAGTGAAAACCAATAGAATGATAAATGCGAGAAAGAAGAGAATGTTGAAGAAAAGGATGTTTATGTCACACCAAGACAGTATGGCACTGAATTCCGGGGAAATTTCATAGGTGATAACTATGGGCGAGTAGATGTTGTGGAGGTAATGTGTAATACACATTCTTGTTTTGACCATACTGTGATATTGAATGGTGGAGTCCCAGTAAAGCCTGAGAATAAGCCGCCAGTAGTTGGTGGAGACCACAATGGTGTGAATGAAGGGGGAGTAATAAATGGGTATGTTCCTAGAGTTTATTCTCAAAGCGCCACTGGACAACCAGGTGTATCCAGGTGGACAGATGAGAATGGATACAATGGAATCAATGCAGCAGGTGGAAGCACGTCAGTTCTAAATGTTGATGAACGGAAGCTTGAAGATATTGACGACGAGGAGTTTGATATACCTCATTTATTTGGTGATAATGAGTATGAAAGGGAAGATATACCAGATCTTGAATTTGATGATGATGGTAAAGGCATATACGTAGGGAAGATATTTGCTAGCAAAGAGGAATATCAAATTGGCATTGCTATATATGCTATTAAGAATATGTTCCATTTTACACAGACAACCACAAAAAAGGGATCGTTTGTTCTCTAATGTTCGGGCCAGCGTTGTGACTGGAGGATCCATGCGTGTGAATTAAAGGGTTGTGGATACTACGAGATTAGGAGACAAACTTGGAGCACACATGCCCTATAGAAACATGGAACGATTATTTGAAGAACGCAACCTCCAAGGTCATTATATTTGTGTACAAAATCAAAGTTTTGTGACCCAACCAAAGGCCCTGCACCTTTGGATCTACAACAGATGGTTCTTAAGGATCTGAGGTTCTCTATTTAATGAAGTTATTTTAGTCAAAAGGTTTTCTATTTATTGAATTTAACTCTTCTTTAAGAGTTTCTTTGAGTAGCAATGCAATTGAGCTGCTTAGAACTGAGCATATATTGGTGAAACTTTTTTCTGAAATGAATTATTTGCAAAACGTGTTGAGTGAATCATATCCCTTCGATGAGCTTTATAAACCAGTGGTGAAAAGTTATGTTCTTGACTTATCTATTTCAAGTATAATGCACTTGTTCTATCGCATGAGTGCTAAAAACGGAACATGTGACATGGAGAAGCATAAGTACTTTGGAAAGTACTTTGGAGAAGAACTCAAATGGCTTACTCAAGTCAAGGAAAACCCGCTAGATAAATACCAAAGAAAGAATTATCATCATGGAATTTTGGAGCTGGAAGTCCCTGAGGAAAACAAGAGATCTTGCGTTCTTACAGTTTAAAGCAAACAAAAAGCATGGAAAGGTAGTTAAAGTTTCTTCATCGTTCAAAGATGAACCACCTGATGCAACACTAGTGCACATACCAAGCTATGATAAGATAAGTATCTTTACTCTCAAGTACATGACTTTTATCCAAGATTACACAGATTTGATTCGCTTGTCTTTGTCAAAAGAGCCAAATGCATATTTTAAGGCAATCTTGAAGCGCTTAAGAAGAACTAAAACAAGAGAGGGAGACAATCAGTTTAAGCCAGCCAATCTGGACTAGAATAAACACCAAGACGTGAGTCGTTTCATACTGATCAAAGAAGCGCCACCAGATACAACATTCAAGCTAAAGTTGAGCCACAAAATATTTAGAGGGGGAAGATATGAAAAGGAGAACATGACAGTGCAAGATTATATGCTGCAACATTATGATTTCTCATTATATAAGTTAACCTCTAGAGAGGATGAGTTGGTCACCACCAACGCATTGATCCAAGAAGAACCCCCAGATCCAAAAATGATGATAAACACCAAACATGTCAAGGACCCTATCCATGTAAGTAATTCCTCAACTCGATTTATTTCTCATGATTTAAGGGATATGATTATAATTTTATTACATCAGGAAATCTTTGAGAATAAATCAGGCTTATTGAAATAATATTTGGAATCAAATTATTGTCTTAAGGTGCAACTAAAAGAGGAACAATATGAGGATATTGATTTGGTCCAAGCTGAGATTTGTTTGCATGTTTATAATAACTTCATGACTGTAATAACACACTTGTTCTTGGTCAAAGGTGTTGAAAACATTGTAGGTACAAAACAGGAGCCACCATATTTAGAAGTTCTCTCACTGAATCTCTTTATGAGGACGGGAATTGGAGATGTTTTCACGCATGATAAGAAACCTTATGCTCGTTTCAGGATGATTTTTGAGGTTGGAGAACAAGTATGGGTACAATGGAGGAAGAAAAGATTTCCAACGGAAAAGGAGTCCAATCTAATCCCAAGGATCGATGGTCAATTCAACATAGCAAGCCAAATCAACAACAAAGCTTATGAACTTGAGCTGCAAGGTAAGTATAAAGTGAGTTCCTGTTTCAAAATTTTTGACTTGGTTCTTTTCATTGTAGATGAATTGGATTTGAGGTCAAATCCTTTTCAAGAGGGAGAGGATGATATGATCATGCCTAACACAAC